GAAGGAGCCATTTCCGACCCTATACAGCATATATATTCTTGATCAGCATTAGCTGGCGAATCTTTCTGGCCACCTCAGGTAGCAAAACAAACGTTTCCAATTTTTTCAAAAAAATTAAAGGGATTACATCGTTAAAATTGTGAAAAATCTAAAAAAATAATTGGATATCTTCAGAAGTAAAATTTGGTATGCAGATTTGTTAAGCGCCAAACAACTAACGCAGGAGCGGTTTCTGAATTGAAATGAAGGCATGTTTGACAAAGTTATGCGATTTTTAAACATTGACTGTCCCTAAAAATACTAAAACATTGTCAAGTAAATCGTTCGATTTACTGAATCTTGCAGAGGGAAATATAATTTTAATCAGTGAAGGAGCCATTTCCGACCCTATACAGCATATATATTCTTGATCAGCATTAGCTGGCGAATCTTTCTGGCCACCTCAGGTAGCAAAACAAACGTTTCCAATTTTTTCAAAAAAATTAAAGGGGTTACATCGTTAAAATTGTGAAAAATCTAAAAAATAATTGGATATCTTCAGAAGTAAAATTTGGTATGCAGATTTGTTAAGCGCCAAACAACTAATCCAGGAGCGGTTTCTGAATTGAAATTAAGGCATGTTTAACAAAGTTATGCGATTTTTAAACATTAACTGTCCCTAAAAATACTAAAACATTGTCAAGTAAATCGTTCGATTTAATGAATCTTGCAGAGGGAAATATAATTTTAATCAGTGAAGGAGACATTTCCGACCCTATAAAGCATATATATTCTTTATCAGAATTAACTGGCGAATCTTTCTGGCCACCTCAAGTAGCAAAACAAACGTTTCCAATTTTTTCAAAAAAATTAAAGGGGTTACATCGTTAAAATTGTGAAAAATCCAAAAAATAATTGGATTTCTTAAGAAGTAAAATTTTGTATGCAGATTTGTTAAGCGCCAAACAATAAGGGCAATAAGGGAATTAATGCGTAAATAAATTAATAGCTTACACAGCTTAATCAAGACTAAGGCCTGATCCAAGGCCTATACCATCTATATATGTATATAATATAATAGTCATGATTAAGACTTACCTCGGTAAAGGCCACGTCATTGTTTACTTCCTTCCTTCAATTTGGGTAGTCATGGCATCGAAGATCACTTCCTGTTTATCCAGATGCATTCCCTTGGCCACGTCATCTTGTTGCGGTTGAAGAGTTATCACAATCACTATCACTGTCGATGTTAACGCTAGGTACCCCTAGGACTGACTGAGGTCGCGGCGATCGAAGTGCCTCTATTTATACTTCCCGAGGAGAGATAACAGAGAAAGAGAGCGAGAGGGAAAGAGCTAGCTCAGTAGCAGCAACAGAGGGAGATAGAGCGTAAGCGCCACCTCTACAGCGCTGTAACAGAGGGAGGCAGCCATACCAAATGTTATTGTGAGTATGAAAGAGAGCGAGAGGCAGAGGCTTACAGAGGCATATTATAATATTATAATTATATATATATATATGATATATATAATATATATTATAATAAATTAATATTAATTTAATAATTAATATTCTTAAAATCGAAATTTTTTTATATATTATTATTAATAATATTAATATTAATATTTTTGATTTATTAATATTATAATAAGTATTTATGTATATATACAAACGTCGATTTCAAGAATATTAATAATTATTAATATTATTAATATTAATTAATTAATTATTAATTAATAATATTAATTTCTTTTAATATTAATATTAATATTATTAATAATAATATATATGTATATAAATTTCGATTTCAAGAATATTAATATTAAAATAATAATATTAATATTAATATAAATAGATATGAATATTAATATTCTTGAAATCGAAAGTTAATATTAATTAATAATATATATGTTATAATATTATAATATTACTCTCGCCCTCTCTTTCTGTATGCCTCGCCGCGACCTCAGTCAGTTCTAGGGGTACCTAGTGTAAACATCGATAGTGATAGTGATTGTGATTACTCTTCAACCGCAACAAGATGACGTGGCCAAGGGAATGCATCTGGATAAACAGGAAGTGATCTTCGATGCCATGACTACCCAAATTGAAGGAAGGAAGTAAACAATGACGTGGCCTTCACTGAGGTAAGTCTTAATCATGACAATTATATTACATACATATATAGATGGTATAGGCCTTGGATCAGGCCTTAGTCTAGATTAAGCTGTGTTAGGTATTAATTTATTTACGCATTAATTCCCTCATTGCCATGAATCCCATTACCTAATTTAAGTTAAAAGTGATGCAGCTATTTGTATTGATGATATCTACGAAAGTATACTTGTTAACAGCCTAACTTAATTATAAATAATTCATAATATTGATAGATAGAACTGAATCCGACTTTGGTGCCGACTTTGGTGCCAACTTTTGCTACATTTATTGCATCTTTTGAATGTGTAAACTAAATATGCAAATTTATTAACCTCATAAAAACTAACATAGTAAAGCAATCCGATTTGAAATAAATGCATTTTTGATTTAGTTATGATACTTGAAAGTCTTCGATTTAGCCAATCAATCAATTTAATTTACCTAAAATACATATATTTTAGGTTTTCTTGGAAGTATACGCAGCAGTGGACAATGATTACTTTCTAAATATAGTTGTATATTTTTATTTGCAATCGAAATCTTAATCAAAAATTTATTTGAATTTTTTAAAAGCTTGCTAAGCGGAATTATCATTTAAATTGTCAAAAAATCATCAAATTTTTAATTTGTTAAACATAAAATCTCAATATGCTTATTATACTAATAAAAGAGAACACTGAAAATCTTTTTAAAGTGAAGTAAATGCATACTCCTATGGCTAACCACAAACATACACACTTTGGCTGCTCGAAATTAGCTATTTTTCGTGTTACAATAATACTTTATATATTTTATAAATCTATAGTTTTTAATTTATATACTTGTATAGTAGCTATTTTTTCCGAGTGTAGCTTAGAGCTAACTGGCGTCGGACTGTATCGTTACCGCAAACGGAAACGCATAATTCATAGCTGCAATCCTGCAAAGCACCTGTCAAGATGCGAAAACTGTAGCCTACTTTTCAGGGTGTCCGCAGCTATTTGCATTACCGCCACGAAAAACACTGCACATGGCAGTTGCACAGTTGCACAGTTGCACTGCTGCACTGTTTCACTGCTGCCGCTGCAACACAGTGTTGCTGCAGCTGGAAAATAAAGCGAAAATCAAGAAAAATGAGACGGAAATGGCGCTGAATGGATGCGGCTGTCAAATGCCGTGCAATTTGCCATGCAACTCTGCCTCTCCTCTCCTCAGCTGCCAAACTCGACTCAATCTCAGCTGCGGCAAATGCACAACAAAAGGGGAGTGAGGGGTAGAATGAGGGTGTAGGTGGTGTGTGGGACTAGGGTGGATTAACAGGAGCAGGGGGGAAATGCAACAACAAATGAATGGCGGGGAAAACGGGCCATCTGGCAATCTATCTCCGCCGACGCTTCCCATGAATTTTCACTCGAGTGAGAGCAGAGGAGTTCGTTTTAGGAGGGAGGGGGCTTAGAGGGGGTTAGAGCAACTCCCGGGGCATGTGTGATGTATTGCTTTGTGTGATTCTGACAGAATTAGCAGCTGCTGCTGCTGCTACCGAAAATTGCACAACAATTGCCAAAAAGTTTCGCATCTTCGATCAACGAATGGCCAGTCTCGGGACCATATTCAAAACGAAAAGAAACCCAAGGCAAAAACCCAAGGAAAACCCAAGAAAAACTTCACAAAAATGCCCCAAAAATACAGACAGTAGGTTGGACAGGAGAAAGGTGCTTCAGTTTTAATGTACTTTCGGTCTCCAAGGATATATTAATTTGGTTTTTATGTAAGACCCGCTTTTAGGCCAGAAACAGCAGCAGGAGCAGTAGCAGCGGCATATTTTTATGTTTATTAGCCATTAATGGCTGGCCACAAAGTAACCATATTACAGAACCAGTTTTCCGTTGCCCCATAAATTGGGAATAGAAACCGCAGAACTTTGCCAATTAAAAGTTGATGCGAGTTTGGATTAAAGGTTGCCAAAAATCAAACTAAACTTTCGTCCCAAATCGAAGTGGGAGGGAGTGGCAGCAAAAGGTTCCTGCTTCTGATGATTTTGTAAATCTCATTATATTGCTCTTCTTTGTATTCTTGGAAATGTTCTTAGAAGTATATTTATTTATCTATTTTTGCTGCTTTTTATTTAGTAATAAATAGTGGCAGCATTTTCTTGATATTTCTTGCATATTTAAATTACTATTGCATTTGTTTATTGTGAAAAGGCTTTCATAATTATTCTCTAATTCAAAATTCTCTTCTTAAGTCCTTCGTTACTTCACTGTACATACATTCACATATATGTAGTATTTGCAGTTACAGTACAGTCGACACACAATAAAATAACTTTTAATTACGCAACAACTAAGGCTGCTTTGCATACATACGATGCGTGTACATTTGCTGCATCTGTGTGTATGTGTGTGGAGAGATGTCCTGTGGCTGCGAGGAGTCTCGTAAAATGTAATTAGAGTTTTGTGTAGTGAAGTTGTCAGCTTTTGGATAACCGAAAACGAGCGTTTTAACAAGTTTAATTGGTGCAAAGTTGCACACAAGTTCATCGAGTGCCGCTGCTCGCTGCTCGCAACTTTCTCTTCCAACTTTTCGCAGAATTTTCCCAAATATACCGCAAATATATTTACATATATATATATATATATTTTTTGTACATCTATATATACACGCATTTATGACGTGTGTGTTGTAAGTTGTAAGATTGAGTGGCCGTCAACTGAAAGTTGTTACACAAATTGATTGACATTTGGCCGATGCCTGTCCTACTTGTAATTGGTTCGCTTCAATGGTTCTAACTTTTGATATTTAAAATAGATATCTAGTATTCTTCTATGTCTATAGGTTTTTATTTATAAAATGAATGTAGATTAGGGATCGTTACTCACTCGTAGTTTGGTCTTTACTCGTTGTCTTTACTCGTTGTATTCCTTGTCGACTTTACTCTTCGTTCGTTCGTCCTTTTTATTCCTTGTTCCTTGTTCCGCTCACTCAACTCGTTGGTTTTATTTTGGCGTAACTTCCTTGATTATTATGCGATCTAAAATATAAAATAAAATCTTTAAATCTTTAAGTAATTACTAGTTTTTAATCTGCTTGGTTTCTCACTTATAAAATCAGTTTTCCATCTAAAGCCCACATCTTTTTCCTATTGCTCTAACATTCCCATTAATCCCCATATTCTCTTAGCGGGTTAAGGGCAGAAGATTAACGCTTTGTGGTCTGCCGCTGACAGGAATACCACTCTCTTTATTTCCCAGTTTTTGGGGATAAGAAGCCAAACCCCCCAAAAAAAAGCGACAAACTTTCACCGGGCAACTTTTGTCATCTCATTCTTGACTCCAGATTTCTTTCCTTTGCTGCTTTCTTTTTATTTCTGTGTGTGTGTGCTGTCTTTGTTGTTGCTTTTGTTTTGCTTAGCTGCAAAATTTTCATATTTACTAACTTATGCAAAAAGTGGCAGCCGCTGCTGATGCTGTTGTTGGCTAATGAAATGCAGTCGCTGCTGCAAAATCTTCTTCCGAGTTAAGGTAAAGCCAGCACAGCTAGAAAAGAAAGTAACAGCAAAAAAGCACAAAGAGCAAAAAGAAAGCAAAGTGTCGGCGGCAACTTTTGCCAGCTGCCAAAACTGGAGACAGTTGATGGGCCCAAGGGAGGAGTGCCAACTTGGCTCTAAGTAAATGCACACCATACCTTTTGGGGGGCCTCTGTTGCCCACTTTGCCACCTGCACTTCTCTCACCTGTTCACCTAAAGATTTGGCTGGCAAATTGCCCAACAACAGCAACAAAAGTAGCTTCAATTTGCCGCTGGTTAACAAATTGAATTGCCAGCAACTTAGTCTCCACTATCTCTGGACATTTTGCACTGACAGAAAATGAGTGTTTTGAAAAGAATCACTTTAATTAACCATTATTTACTCAAATTAATTTTTGATTACTTTTTAAGCTTGTTTTTCTTGATTAATGCGTTTTTTATAGAGTCCTTGGAATAAGCGAGTATCCAAGCAACAATTAAGAAACTCCGAAAGGAACGACAGAAGGATAACGAGCTCAGAACTAGCTGGAGATTTCCATAGTAAATACCTCCACCTCCTAGTTTTAAGCTATTTTTCTTGATTAATGTATTTTTTATAGACCCAAAAATATCCTGGCAAGAGGCCTTGGGATAACCGAAAGAACGTGGATCTAAGCAATAAGTAAGAAACTGCAAAAGGGATGACAAAAGGACGAGTAAATACAACGAGCTGAGAAATTGCTGGAGATTACCTACACCTAGTTTTAAGCTATTTTTCTTGATTAATGAGTTTTTATTATAGACTTGAAGCATATCCAAAATATCCTAACAAGAGTCCTTGAGATAAGCGAGCTAACGAGGATCTAAGCAACGAGTAAGAAACGCCGAAAGGGACGAGAGAAGAACGAGCAAAGGCAACGAGTTGAGAAGCAGCTAAAGATTTCTATTATTAATTTCTACCCTCTAAATTAAAACAATATTAAACTTATTCAATAATTTAATAAAGTAATCCCATATAAGTATACATTAGAATAAGCCACATGAAAATCTGTTGCCTTAGGGGCTAGACTTAACAGATTTATAGCTGTTAATTAGACGATTTTAAATCACACCATTTTCCCAAATGCCCCAAACGCTTTTCCACGCTCTCTCTCTTTTTTTGCCAGCACCCCTTTTCCTGTTTTCCTTTTTTATTTCAGCTTGTTTTTTACATTTTTTTTTTGCTGCTCCCCGAGGACTATTTAAATGAAAAAACATTGACAAACAGAGCCCACTGCCTGTCGGGAACAGACTGAATGAAGAGCGGCCCAATTGACAGTGGGAGTTGAAGCAACGCAATCCCCAGTTTGCCAGGTTCATGTTACCCACTTCCCTTGGGGATCACCCATTGTGAAAACAAAAGTTTGACTGACTGAGTGAGAAAGGCCAAGAGCAAGCCCCCTCTCGCCGTGTCAGTCTGTCTGGACGCTGCTGTCCAGCTTCCACATTGATTACAGAAACGGAGGAACGGAATCCCTTCCGGGAGGGGCCACTTAACGCAGCACACACACACACACACACGCTCCCCACGTTCTTGGTGTTGTTCATAACCGAACGAACGAACTGTCTGCCTCGCATTTTATGGAGTTTATTAATTTGAGTGCTTTTCACCCTCTGGTGACACGGCTCAGGCTCGGGAACAACAAATGGCGATACTTGTTTTATTGAATGACCTCCCGCCCCCCATATCCCATTCGATTCCGACAAAAAAACAAAATGAAGCCAAGAGGGAAAGGCTCTCCAACGCATGTGTCGCAACTGTCAATGAAAGTAAACGGATTGGCTTTCAAACACACAGCTCTTGACCCTACCCCATGGTGGCAGTGGCAGTGGCAGCAACAACATCTGTCAGTTGTCGGGCAATTGGTTTTCAACTTTGTCTGCCACGTAGTTTAAAAATATTTTATAAATATTGACATGCCCGATTAGGCAGCTAAAAGTTAGAGAGGAAGACTAGGCCAACTCCTAATAATGTCTCAATACCTCAAAGGAAATAAAACCTGTAAGATACTTTATAATATCTCAACTTTAAAGAGTTTTCTGAAGGATCCTTCAAGTTAATAGAGTTCCTTTTCTAAAAAAATATATACAAGACAAGCCTAGTCCTTGGCTGACAGCGTTTGGGGGGCCAAACAAATAAATCACGTATACGCCATGTGTGTCTGTGAAGGGGGAAAAGTGCGTGAGTGCAGCAATTAGCATGCAATTAGTGGAAGAAAGCAGCCGAAAGCCGTAAAGAGGATGGAAAATCCAAAAAACGGTGGGGAATGCAGAAGAAGATGGGGAAAACTTTTGATTTGTGTCATTGTCTTTTCCACACACCAGACTCTCTCACTCTCTCTCTCCTTTGGCTGTTGTTTGTGCCTGGCGAACGTGCCACAAGTTGAGTTTTCCGCAGCCATCAGCCAAAGAGAGAGTGAGTGAGTGTGTTCATCTTGAGGCAGCCGCCAAAATGTTGTCGGGGCGCCAACTTTTTAATTGTTTTCCATGCGGAAAATGCAAAGAACGAACGAAGGCTAAAGGAGGGCGGAACCCAAAGTAGAGTGATACTTTAAGCTGATTTGAAGTTTAAAAATAAGAAGGGAACTTCCCTAAGCCACCATTTGCTGGCCATCTCTCTCAGTTCGGCCACAAATTGCCAGACAAGCCGAAACATAAAACAATTTGCCGGCTAAATAGCAAAACGCCGGCAAGATGTGACAATGAAGTTGCTGGAAGGAACAATGATGACAATGATGATGTTGGGGATGATGTTGGATGATGACAACATTGCCAGACGGCAAACCACAACAAAGTGCAAATTTATGCCACAATAAATGTAGCCAGTACAGGACACTGTTTCTCCCTCTCTCTCCTCACTCTGTCCTGCTTTCCACAAATAAAAACAAAACTTTAAGGACTACAGTGGCCAAGAGGTGAAAACAAGGTCCTGTATACCTTACAACTCACACAGTTCACAGTTGAGGTTAAAATGGGGACATCCTTTTAAGGGAACTTTAAATAGTTCTCCCTATTTAAAACAGTTATGTTATTACAATGGAAATTATCTCTGCTATACCTTATGCTAAGCTTAAATGAATCATTATCCTGGCTGGAAATGTTATTTCCTATCCAGGGGGATCCCCCTTTTAACCCCTTTGCTGTGGCTCTTGACGAGCCGAAACAAAATGAAACGAAACGAGACGAGACGAGACGACACCTTGAAAGGCCGCTCAACCTTAACCCACAACAGACCATAAATAAAACGCCTCTTGTCTGGCCACTTCAAGTGGCCATACCTGCCTGTACAGATATATAAACATATATATATATGGCTAAATATATAGCCAAGGAGTACATGTGTTTTCTGTGTGTGTGTGTGTGTGTGTGTGTGTGTGTAAGTATGTAGGCGAGGCCCGTCGCCGCAATTTTAGTCTCCATAAACTGTCAGGCATCAGTAACTTATCGACCCTTAGCTTTTAAGTGGATGATTTCAGGTCTCAGATTTCCGCACAAGGACACTCACACACAAACACACACACACACACAAAGGACATCAACTCGACAGGTAGAGTAGCAAAAAGAAGAAGGAGCTCTTCAGTGTGTGTGGGAGTATTTTGTTTTATTTCACTTTCCACGCCGGCTCTTCCAGCTATTTTCTTGATGTTTCCATTTTTCCAGCAACCATTATCTTCATCATCTGATACACTTAAAGGAAAGCCGGGTTTATTACTTACTCAAAGGTAAGAGTAAGTAAAAATAAACCGAAAGTTAAGAAATTAAATGTTTGCGATACCTATGTTTGAGTGAAGATTTTTACAATGGTTAAGTATTTATAATATATTTTGTTTTTGATATTCCTACACTCTCTATCTGTCTCTGGCAACATCATCATCATTGCTATCATCCTTTGTCCTCGTCATTTTATTTTATAAACTCCCCCAGCACTTCTGGTCAACTTGACTGACTTTAGTTTAGCGCAGAGTCCGTGGCTTCTGGACTAAGGACGAAGGACTAAGGTCTATGGTTCTAGGTGTGCCAGCTTGTGGCTGTTGTTGTTGTTGCTCCTGACCCTGCTCCTGTTTCCTGCTGTTGGTTGTGCACACGTCAAGTGTCCTTAAAGGGATTAAGAGTGAATGATAGCGGCTTATGTCTTAGGTGTGTCCGCTGTATGTCCTGCCCTTCACTCGGCTTTGATTGCCAGTGTTGTGGTTTTCTGTTCTTTTCAGTAACATTATTAATTGCTAGTTTTAATATTTTGTTCTGATTACAAAAAAAGAATCGTCCCAACTTATTGATGAACCCATTCTCTTCTCTGGACAAAACTTATTCCATTTGGCAGACGACCAGCCTTTCGAGGCACTTAATTAACAGCAAACAATATAATTTTTGCAAACATTTTCCCAATGTCCATCGGTCAGAGATGGGCAAAAAACTTTTGTCATTTGCGCCTCCCTATCTCCTATACCATTTCCGTTGCCATTTCCATTACCATTTCACTACTCAT